AATTTGGCCTGTAAGTACAACTTGCAAGAAATATACGGCAGATAATATTAATTTTGGATTTTCTCATGATATTAACACGTAGACGTCAAGCCATTTGTATGTACAAGCAGTAGAATGGATTCTTCAAAAGGTACATTCCACTGCATGACACCTTCCTCATAACATCCTAAGAGTCTTTTGTGCAATAAAAATCAGCATCCTTGGGATAACAGAAAAATATTACTTGCATGAACTGAAAATTTAAACTATCAAGTATCAAGTACTGTTGAGAAAATTTGGTTTGCTTGCCAATCTATCTAGTTCACCAAACAGCGAATGTTTAACATCATAACGCATGTCAACATAGTGTTGGATGTTCAATGTTGTATCTTGAATGAGATGCAATGAAAATTGTCCCAGCATGGTTTCAACATAAGAGGCACTTGCTCAAGTTCATTCTTCTATCTGATTTTGAGATATCCTTATTGTCAAGCAACCCACTGCATCAGGCTCTTGACAATGTAAGGTCTGGAAAGAGTAAATGTATGCAGCCTTATACTCATAAGCAAACAATTCAACGCAGAAGGCACTTGTTCAAGTTTATTGTTCTATCTAGTTTTAATTTTTAAGATTTGGTATTATCAAGCAACCCACCGCACTAAGCTCTTAACAATCTGAGTTTCTTGAAGGATCAACTTATGCAGCTTTGCACGCATAAGCAAAGAAGTTTATCTAATCATCTAGGTCACAGTGGAACAACCTTATAGTGGTGCCAAGTCCCACCTTTTTAAGATTTTACATTACCACATACCAAAATTTCAACTTGGTGCTTGGATTCCACAAATACATGCCATATTTACGTAATATTGGAAACATTGGTCAAGATAGGACCAAATGAAGATGCTGTTTAGCCAGCAACTCAAACTCAACCAATCAAATTCTTGCTACGTACTAGAGAAATCTTGTTTGCCCGACGGCAGTTATGGTATTTCCAAAAAATTGTGTTAATCTATAAGGTAAGCCAGCTTGAGGATCCAGAATTGCAGTAACAGTAAATTATATATAATGCAGATCAAAATCTGTTTGTCTTGTGTTAATCTATAAGGTAAGCCAGCTTGAAGATCCAGAATTGCAGTAATATGTAACAGTATCTGCATTCTAAGAATTTAAAAATATCAACAAGCTGGGAATTAGTTAAAAAGCTACTGACATAAAATCAATTATTTTATTTGAAACAAAACTAGTAATAATAATATCAAACATAGAAGACTAAGTTGGCCATAAGATCACCCAAGAGTTGCTGTGGGGGCTGGACGTATGATCAAGGCAATGATCATATAATCATGCATCATTCTAATGTAACACAGAGTGACCAACATAGCTGAGCTCATTTCAGATAAGACAAGGCCAGAAGAACATGGCAGACATGTCCAGGAAATTAAAGAAGTTAAGATATGTCTATCCATACTCAAATAGTATCACCAAAAAAGCCCACATTTTTACAAGCATGATGCAACATAGGAAACACTGAGAACAACAACCTTGGCAGCTTTCCAAAGATTTCAGTCATCAGAATAACTTGAAATGAGAAAGGGGGGGGGGAAAAAGACATGCTACTGCTCATTGACCCAACTTGGCAAGAAATTATTTTGTTATAGCAATTTAAAATCACCGGATTCTCCATTCTCATGCCAATATTGGTGGATGTGAAGAGAACAAAAGTTCACCCATTAATCCAAAAGGTTATTCAAGGATAAATTGGTTCCAAGTAATCAATTGAATCACAACATTTAGTAAAAAGATAGAAACAAGCATTTTAGTTATTCTGAACCATAATAGATTTGAAACTCTAATGCCCCAAAGCATTACCAAATCTACGCATGTTATCATCTCTGTTTCAATGAGCCCGACGTTCCATCGTAAAAAGGCAGCTCAGCTGAAAATTCAACTCCAGAGGAGCACCGCGATTTCCCAAATTCATATATCAAATGCAAATACCAGTTCACGAATCCGAATTTCAGATGCAATTAAAACAGAAGTACGGCAAAGTAAAAGCACAACTTCTTTTGCTCACCAATCCCCGGTCCTTGGGTGGCGGCTCATGGAAGGGACCTCGAAGGTGGGCGCGAGGCCCATGCCCCGGTACCGGCGGCGCTGCTCGTCGGTGCAGCTAAGGAGACGGGTGATGGGCCCCGGCTGCCGCGCCTTGCGGTAGCTGTGCATCAAACCCACCGTCTGCCAGTCGAAGTAATCCTGGCACTCAACGGAGAACAGGGTGTGCATCCTCCACGGCGCCTTCCGGGCCTCCGCCAGCGCCGAGGAGGGACACACCGCCACCACCACCACCAGCACCACGATCGCCGCCGGAGCGAATGACGCCATCACGGACAAAGATCGCAGCGGCCGATCCAGGGATCTAAAGTTCAGGGCATGGTGGTGAAGCGTCGACGTTCCTTCCACCAATTGCTGTCCTAAAAGGATTAAAAGAAAATGCAGAGGCGTTGATGGAATTTTGCCAAATCTTTTAAGGTCTTGATTTAATTTAGAAGATTCCAATTCATAACCCTTTTGATATCTATGAGTTTATTTTCAATTTTTTTTTTTATAAATAGACATCCAATGGACATAAATGTTTTATATTATAATTTTTAAAAGAAAAAAAAATAAAAGAAGGAGTATGGTTTGATTTAAGTTTTTGGCTTTGTTTGTTCCACATCTTTTTTCTTGGCGTGTTTTGTTCATACACTAAACTTAGTTAGATATCTAAACAAATTCAAAGGGATCTAATATGAATTAAAATAGTTCCTCGTACATCAATTGCTAATTTCCAAAGGGTTTTACGAAGTTGTAATCATGTAGAAAAAATATAGTAATTTTCTGAAGAGGAAAAAGCTTATATTATGATTCATTTAATAATAAGATACTGTTGGTGACGGTGATACACTGACAAGGGAGAAAGAAGACTTGAGAGACATAATAAATTTACATAAATATTCATCTTTAATCAAAACGACATCCTCCTAATTAATATATATATATATATATATAATAAAAATAAAATTATTTATCATAATCGCAATTAAATGGAAACTAGGGTGTGTTATTGTGGTCTTAATTTTCTCACTCTTACCTCTACCTAAATCATTTTTCCAGAGTTTGACTTAAGCATCCAAGGAAATATACTGAGAACGTCACCTAAAATTAGTCTTAGTATAAGTGGATACTATATCGATCATCCAAAAGCTTTTTTTAACGTAGATCAACGTCATCCCTAAATAATATTAATATATTATATATTATTATCTCCAAAATAAGAGATGATTATTTTTACGATATGACATGATATAATAACTGACTTATTAAGCTCAAATCATTCATCAGCATGCCTAAATTAAAATTTTATGATAATACACTTATTAGATACTTGTAGGTAAATCTTAATCTTAGTCCGATGTGTTTATGATTATAATATATAAAAATAATTATGCATATTTTCTATTTAATTTATTTATTGAATTCTACTGGCACTCATGTGTACTCCAATAATTATGTATATACATATAATATATATATATATATATATATATATATATATATATATTATATGCGTTTATGTGTCGGATCATTTTTGTTGCACATATCTCAATGCATAAATATATATTTTTGGATTCTAATCGTCACTTACCTTTTATAATATATAAAGAATATTAAAATTATCATTTAATAATAAGAATGATAGCAAGTTTTTTTTTCTTTCTAAATCCAAAATAGACTATCTACTTAGTTATTCAAATTTAAATTTAAGCATATCCAACAGATGAACCAAACATCAAAGAAAAGGGACAAATATCCCATATAATTCTTTAATATATTTTTGAAAATAATATCATGATTATAATCAGTCAAGTGATCTCTAAACTTATAAGACCAACGCATAAGAAGACAACCAGCCGGCCTCTCCCTGCATTGCAATGTCAGCCACACTGCATAAAGCACCAACCCAACTCTCCTACAGCCAACGCCTCACCATCGGTTTCACCTCCATCAAAGGTATGTTGAATTCCCACTCCTGCATTGCGTGCATGCCGCTAAACGACTCAGGTGATGCTGTGCTTCCTTTCTCATGGAGCAGGAAGAAGACTCAGCGATGAAGTCGCAGAAGCGAGGGGCGGCAAGCCGCGGCGAACCCCTTCCGGACCTCACGGACTTCATGAACGACTGGTTCTTCGGCAGCGTAAACGTGGAGCGACGAACGTACGATCTCGGTGGGGGAAGCGCGAAGAAGGAAGAAGAGGACAGAGGCGGTGCCACGAAGCACACGAGCAGGCTCACCCAGGAGTGGCTCGAGGAAGCGAGGAAGGTGGTTGCCGGATCGCCTCCGAGGCCTGGTTCCCCGGCCAGGTTCCTTGGATCGCCCAGATTTGCTGCGGAGGAGGCGACGGAATCCTCGCCGTTGGTTGATCGCAGGGATCCATTGTCAAGATCGGCAAGGAGGTATATAATATATCTGACTGCATGAGAGGACCATGATCTTGCGCGCACGATTATTAAAGCAACTTAATATTACGAATTATATAAATATCATAAATGATAAATTATCATGCCGTGGATGAATTTTCTAACTTATCGATGCATATTTAAACGATAATCACCAATCACTCAAATTAGTCACGAACGATTTATTTGGTATCAAAATTATAGATGTTTTAATTCATTCTTTTGTTATCTTTGTTTATTTTTCTCTTAATAATTAGTTATGTTTAAAAAATTAAGATGCATTAAAATCTTTATATCTATAAATCGTCTAATGAAACCTTTTCTTATTGTCGAATTATTATTGAATGCCCAATTTCTGAATTGTGACGACATCTGATGATCGGAAACATTAGATTCAATTTCGAATGATACCGTTGGTTTTGTTTTTGTTTTTGTTTTAAAAAACATCTTTACTAAACGATGTAACCGAATATATCTTAAAACAAAACGAAAACAACAGGATGCCAAAACGTTGCAAGTGATGTTTCAGGCACAGGTCGTTCGACGGCATCAGCGACGAGATCCTACGGCGATCCTCTTCCCGCGTCGGCCGAACCACTTCGTCCGAGTCCCTCCTCCCGCCCAGCGAGACCCACTCCGCCGCAACCGGCGACCCTCACCCCGCCTCCGACGGGGGTGGCCGCCCGCCTCCGCAATCGCTCCCGCCGAAGCAACCGTACCACCGGACGTCCCGCTTCCGCGAGGAAACCCCCTCCGAACCTCTTTCCCCCGCCGCAACTTCTCGGCGGACTTTCCGCAGCCGCTCCCCTGCTCCGCCTCCGGCTGAGGCCGAAGAGGACGCTGCTCAGCGGCAGCCTCTGCTGTCGCCGCCGCGGAATTTGGTGGAGTCGGCTTTTCGGAGGTCGGTGTCCTCGATCACTTGCTCGCTGGAGACGCTCACTGGGCTGGAGAAAGAAAAGGGGTCCGACCGTAGGAAAGCCATCTCCTCCTCGTTGAAGGCCTGCAACCGGCTGCCGGAGTCGTCGCCGCCTGAAAACATGAGGCAGATCAATGCGTTCCTTAGGAGGCAGAGGAAGATGATCGGGAGGATCTCCCGCGGCGAAGCGTCGGCCAAGGCGAAGATCATACTCTCTGGATCGTCTAACAGTTCCGAGTTCTTGATCGGATTGTAGCTTCCCTCCATTTCTTCAAAATGCCTAATTTCTCTGACTATCGTCTGTTTTCTTTGATAGGCACGACGAGTTCGATGGTGGCAGCCATATGTTATGCGTGGTTATTATGGAATAGGGAGGAGAAGGAGGTGGTGGTCGTGCCGGTGGAGAACATGGAGAGGAGGAGGATGACCAATCACAAGCAAGCTGCTTGGCTCTTTTACCATGTTGGAATTGATGCTTCGGCATTGCTCTTTGCCGATGAGGTATGAACTCCTGTGCACTGAGTGGTTTGCTTAGCATTCCATCAATATCTTGTTTTACTTGCTGCAAGCTGGTTATTCTGTACTTAATATACATGCTAGACTAACAAGAAGTTAAATCTGCATCCCCTTTTTCATCGACTTCAAAGAGCTTTTGGTCTATGCACATAATGCTTAAAAAAAAAAAAAAAGATAACCTTGTTAAAATGATGACCGTGATATTCACATTTCATGTTGGATTAGAACAACAATGATGACAAGTCGTGGTGTTTCAACTATTTGGGGTTGGCACATTTAATGTTGGATTGCTTATTTGAAATGTAAAACATCATATTGGCAGACTACATTATTAGATGGTGAGTCTTCTGTTTCAGTGTTCATGATGTTTTGAATTTTTGGAATGCTTTGAACCTGTATTATGAAGAACATAAAGGAGTAATATTAGACAAATTCTGCTTGGTGTTTTTATGATACTGACAGTTCTGCATGCACATGGACTATGTTACTCATTAATCAAATCAATTATCAGCTGTTTGATACCCAGTTGTCCTGTTGAAATAATGGGGTATTACACATCCTTTCACAACCTTTATATGTTCCATTAGCAACAATCACTGTGCTTATCCATATGGAGACAGGCCTCGAGTCAGTTTTATCACCTCAAAATAAATCATGGGGACTTCAATTGAAGATAATTTCCTCCAAAAGCTACAATATTTATAATATGTAGAAACCAAGAGTCATGTAATTTGGATATGTTTTGTGCATTATTCTCATTAGCACAAAACAAATGGTGTAAAGAACATTCATTCACGCAACAATAATTTCAGTTTTTAGCCACTTTAAAGGAACAGATCATAGGCTAAATATTGTTCGATAAATCCATGAAAAAACTCACCTTGTCTTGACACTTGTGGCTTGTGTATTAAACTATACTATTAAAGCTACTTATATGGGCTTCTATAATATTCATATGTTCCAGCTTTTGAAAAAAATGAATTTTTACTTCTAGGCCTTTCAAACTTCAAGATAATGTTTTAACAGAATTGATTTTCAGTTTGGACTCTCCATAATTGATATTGAGGTGATAGGATTGAGGCGTCCGGATAGTATTCTAGCTCATCTCTCTCTCTCTCTCTCTCTGTGTTCATTTATATAATGGAACTGTAAAGGTTTTTTACTCTCAATATCTCATTTTGTATAGTTCTTCCTATCAAATAGAAATATGAAATGTTGAAATGAAAGATGTATCTTAATCTTGCAGCTTGTTATAAGTCATTTATACTTTTTTCTTGTTCCATGTCTTACGTCAGGTAGATCTGGAGAATCTTTTGATGGCCAACAAACTAGCCATGCTTGTCATCGGGCAGGATGTGCTGAAAACTAACAATGAGGTGATTATTCACTGTTCAATCTTTCAAGCACAAACAGTTCTATACATGCTCCAGTTCTGTTGTATAGGTGGGTTCTCTGTGCACAATTCTCACAGACAACTATTGTGAAGAAGCCTATGATCTACTTCAGAATCCTAACTTGAAAAAGCTTTTGGTATGAAACTTGAAATCTATGATTTTACTAATCGGTTCTTCGTTAACTCTGTACTCTCTATGAAGAAATATGTTGTTCCAGCTTGCAGGTATTCTCTTAGATACACAAAATCTTGATGATACTGCTCAGTTTGTTACAAAGAGAGATGAAGAGGCAGTACGGTTGCTATCAGTCGGTTTTGCTCCCAACTACAGACAAGAATTTTTTTCTCAATGTAATTTTCTGTTCTTCATAATAACTTCAGTCTAACTAGGCAATCCTCTTCGTATGTGTTGTTTGCTATTATCTTATATTCTGTTTGCAACTAGTGATGCAAGAAAACAAGGAGAATTTATTTCTTGAAGCTCTGAAGAACAATTATGGGATGCTTTCTTGTGAGAGTAAGTTGTATAACAAAATGACATTTTAGAGTCACGAGAGAAAATTTCAAATGGAGAATATATCATTGTCACTAAGCTTTACTGAACGTGGAATATGTTGGTTGCAGCAAAAGAGAAGTCACCACCGGTGCAAGCACCAATTCCAGTGCCGCTTCCAGTGAAGGCACCAGAAACAAATTCTCGTGGGAAGAGCAAGTTCTTTTTGGCAAAGTGGTTTGGTTTTGGTTCAAAATGATTTAAACTTTCCAATTTGTGCCTATATAAGTTGGGTGAGAAAGTTGATCTCTTGATATTTAGACTGATTACATTCATTTTATAATAGATACATGGGACTGACTGTTGTTGTAGTTTGAAAACATGCTTTTGGAAGATGTCTGCACCAGTGCATCATATGATCTTGAGGAGGCAGAGCTCAACATAGCCACTTGTCGAGTCATATTTTCTGTTATACAATTATCTTTATTTCCTTTTTTTTTTTCAACGAGTAAAAAAATAGAGCAGACTCCATTGTCACAAGTCCACTATTGTATTGGGATAAAACTTGCCTCCTCGATATTATATGAAGGGAAATAATCTTGTGATCCTCAGGTAGAGAATATGATGTTTTCTTCTTGTATGTTAATATTTAATGCATTAAATACGATCGACTATTCTCAAAATAAGTAGGACATAACTTCATGTTATTGGGTTTATCTTAAAGACATTGGCTAGTGTAATTTGGAGTAACTTGGTTGAATTGCAAGACACAGGAGTTAGTACTTTCTTCATAAATGTGTTTATCTTGTGTGCATCTGCAACGTTGAAAATTTGGCCTGATTCTTTCATTCACTGGGCGTTCCAGTTTTGTTAATTCCATAATTGAGTTTTGAATCCTTGTGCAGGTGGCACCCCTTTTACCCTCAACAACATGAGATCTTTAACTAATAGCTAAATTGATCTTTATTTAAAAGCGTAAGAACATAGATCAGTAGTATCGTATCATCATGGCTGGCTTACGAGCACAGTAGAGAAGTATAGGTTGAAGGTGCCAAACCATGGTAGAGCCATTCTTTGAAAGCGTTCTCAGGCAGCTTTGACGGTCGTGAGGTGCTTGCGCTTGATGAATTCTCCGGCTTCCGAGTCGACGTCCTCCTCCTCCTCGTAGGTCGTCTTCTCGCACACTCGATATGCGCCCTTGTCGTCCTCGAACCTCTCCAGGTGCATTGCCTTACCAAAACGCCCGGCCGGGCACCTCTCCTCTTCCTCGTACCTTTCCTTGTGCTTGTAAATGGCATGGAGGTTGGGAAAGTGAGGCCCTTCGATCATGCTCGTCGTCTTCTCGATCCTGGTGACGTAGGTGACGTAGTCGTCGCCATGGAGCTTCGCCTGGTCTCGCTGTGGGCAGTTCCGATGAGTCGCCATGAACGATGTTTCCTTCACAGGCACCACCGATAGCTTCTTTGCCTGGAAATGGCTTAATGGCGAGCTCCTCTCATGGCTCTTCCTTTTATAGACGCGGATGCGAAGGAAGGATTCTGAGACTACTGGGAGTGGGGCTTTATTCTCCACCAGCTGCTTTCGGTGCCCCTCGCATTTGGTTCGATAGCTCCGTTAACGTTCAGTATGGACGCATCTTGCAGACATCACTGTTGATGATTAAATGAACTGAGCATGAGCATGAGCATGAGATGATGGACAAAGTTTTGCTGCAGAAATAACTTGAGTCTATTAATTTGAGGCTCAAAGTCTCAAATAACTCGAGTGATTATTGAGTACCAGCTTGTCTCATCAGATTGGTTGATGAGATTGGAAGGCTAACATCTTTGATATCACTCGAGGAATCGAAAGATGTTGGTGAAAGAGACATGGACAATGATGTAGGAAGAAGATCGATCCGAGGAGGGAGGGTGTTTGTTTCAGCTTGGAAGTAGATAGTGATCTGGTATCTATAAAAGTATTTTAGAAATTTGATTAAGTGCGTAGAATATTACATTTTGGAGTTCAGGTTGCATATTGATTTCAAAATTATTTTTTTGTTGTAGTAATGTATTTTTCTTTTAAAGTGAATCTATCTTTTCATGTGCTAGGAATTAACATACAATTGTCACACTCAAATTTTAATTTTTTTCAAAGTCACTTAAAAAGAGAAGCATGATACTTTTTTTATTTTTTTTATTTTTATTTACTAACTAATTTAAAAAAATCTCATGAAAAGGTATCAAGTAATTTCAAAATAAAGTAAAGGAGTTTTGGTTACCTCATTGTCGAAAACCATTAATGCATTGTTCGCCACTTTATCTTTGTTGGTTTGATTCTCGTCATCGGATGAGCTCAATTAATCCCAAGCTACCTTGGATATTTTCTTCTTCTCTGGTAACTTCTTCTTTTTAAGTTTATTTTTATTCTTTGATTTTTATTTTAAGAACTTTTTAAACTTTATTGTTAGAAGTTCAAAGTCATTAACTCGCTTTCGCTCGAGTAGTCATCTTGAGTTTTAAGTGTCGAATCCTTCTTATATTTTGGAAGGTAGTTCTCATATTCAATATGTTCAACATGTGCCATACAACTCATTTCATTGGTCATTAAAGACCTAATAAGTTCTTCGAGTGGAAAATAATTCAAGTTCTTTATTTTGTCGTGTTTAAAAATAGGATGAAGTACATTTAAGCCTATTGGATGACTTAGGTCAAAACAGAATTCCTCCTCTTTGAGTCAAAGACGATCCAATCATCTCGATCTCGTTCGGATAGTCCATGCAAAACTTATTCGGCGATATGCCCACCAACACTTTTTCTATTCTAGCGGTGGTCATATGTCCATCGTGGACCAAAACAAAATCCAAAGAGTTCAGTATTAATTTATATATTTTAAAATGAGAGCCTCCTTCCTTATACTGTATTTTTGTTTCATAACATTATCATTTATAGAAGAATATATATTTTAATTTTTTTAAAAAAATATAATTTTCAGTTGATGTATTACTATATTTTCTTGTTATACATAAACTAAAAAAATCTAGATTAAATCATATCAAGATTACGATACTATCTATACGATATTAAGTAGTAAACAAATCAATTTAATTTAAGATGGCTACATTTCTCAAAGTTTGCGGAAGGCAAAGGGCACCAACTTGAACTCCAAGTTTTGAAGCTCTTCATGGGACAAACCCACCAAGTGTTTGGCATGTCGTCGTGCCATCGATGTCTTCGTTTTCTTTCCCATTCTCCTTTCGCCTGCCATAAGATTCTTCTTGATTTGAACCTCTCTAAAGTCGTGAGAGCTTTTTCGGTGCATGCCTTTTGATACGGAGAGGGAAAAAGAAAATAAAGAAGATGATTCCCATGTGATGAAGGCCAGCCAACTTACAAGAACCAAAGCTTAGTGCACTCTCTGCAAGACAACAAGAGGTCAACTTTAATATATTCACAGATGTTATTATATTGACTTCTTTTTCATGTCACGTCACTATGTATCCTCTAACGAAATATTTTTTTTACGCTCATCCGAATGACTTGTTAAGAATTTAGAGATGATTTAATACATCACCAATCTGATTTGTGTAAAAACATGACAGATAATCCCTATCATTAGGTTTACAATGGTTGACATAAAAAAATCAATCTGATTTGTGTGGTTAATGGAGAAGGTTAGATTCTTTACTATAAGAATAATCAAATTAAAAAATAAATCTAAATAAATGATAGATGTGATGTTCATATAACTATAAAATCTTTAAGGGTATATTTAAAAAAAAATAATATTTAAGAAACTCACATGAGCATCTAACTATCAAAAATTTTCATACAATATCCTTTGTTGCATGAAAAGAGTAATTTATCTCTATCTCTATCGGAGATACTTTACTAATGGTCCTTGTACGTAGGAAAGAGTCTAATGAGTTTTACGGAGGTGACAACGACTCTCTTCCGAGGAGAATGAGGAGGTACAACGACAACCCTCACACTTAAGGGATGGACCAATATGGTTGTCGTTTGCTTGTTATATAGATACGAATGCAACGAATTCGACGAGAGTCAAGGGTGAAGGTTGTTGGTCCAATAGGATAGAGGAGAGGGGAGGCAATGATGAAGGCAAATTCAACACGAGGAAAGTGCAAAATTATCATTTTAAATAAAAGGGTGTTTAGTATGAATTTTTAAAAATTAAGACATTATATAAGAATTTATGGAAGATAGAAATTCTTTTAAAAAATTCATGCAAATCTCAATTTACTAGGACATTTTATATGATACTTGAATTAAAAATATTATGAAGCAATTTGAATTCTATTAAGCTCCATAAAATATAGTTGCCAATTAGCGATTTTCATATTTATTCAAAACTCAAAAACTTACAAATATGTCACCATAGTTAATTTTTGTCAGTTATTCGATAGTATTTTGAAATTGAAACTCAAGTTAACCTTAACACTTCTTTAAAGTATTTTTAAAAAAGTAATAAATAATTGATAGAAATAATAAAAAAATTATTAAGGTACTTAATATTTATTATTTTTGAGATTCATTGACAATCATGATTAGTAGTAGTTAATTTGAGTTGATTGGATGAAAATAAAGTATATAAAAATTCATATATATATATATATATATATATATGTATATTGACGGAGATATGTATGTAATATTAAGGTTTAGAGGGGGAAACATGTTATTTCAAACTTGGAAAGCGTGACTTTTCTGTAGTGAGTGAAACCGCACACATGAGCCCCATCGAAAATTTTCTAGAGAAAGCATCTGATCTCCAGGCAGCAGGCTTTTTTTGCCCTCCTCGACTTTAAGCTGTTTGTTATATTGTCTACACCGGAGCATTTCCTTTCTAGTCTGCAACCGGGTCTTAATATACCGAAAGAGCAACTGGGTTGCGTTTCTAAGATATGGCGACCAACACATCAACGGTACCTGACCCGACGCTTTAGCCGAGTTCTCAGGCGCACGAGAGCTTGACCCCTTCTTTTTCGGTGCGCGCCCCACCGCCTCGTGTTGCGTGCTGTATAGCCGACTTCTCTCTCTCTCTCGCTTTCTCCCTCTCCTTCCCTCTTCTATTTCACAACTGCCAGTTCACCCCTTCTCACTACCCTTGTCTTTTACTCTCTAGGGTTTTTGTTCTTACCATCGTCGGTCTCGCTGTGGCTGCCTGGGTGGGTAAGAAAGAGCGGGGGACGGTTGAGATGGCGCACCGTATGGCGGCGGCGGCTATGGCAGTGGCCGTGGTGCTGACGGCGTTGGCTCCGTGGCCGGTGGCGCCGACCTCGCCGGGGCCGCACATCACGGACTTGAACGTGCTGCTGCCCCCTCGCATGACGCACTCCGTCGAGTACCGCCTCCAGGGCAGCGGTGGATGCTTCGCTTGGTATTATCTCTCTCTTCGGTCTAATTCTTCCCTCGATCCTGCGCAACCACCTCGATCCTCAACCTTGCAACTGATTTTTTTTTCTCTTTAATTTGTTCCAATTTACGGCGGCTAGTGTGCTGCGTTTTCTGGAAGCTCGTTGAATTTAGTGTTGTTTTCTTGGGAGCCTCTGTCTGCTATGTCGCTGACTATGAAATATGTTAATGGAATCTTGTTCATTTACTTAAAAGTTTAAGTCGAGATCCTCACTAAGTCGTTGTCAACTGTTATCATGTGTTGTCGTTCTTGCTTGCCTCAATTAACTATCAGCCGTCAACTATCCCGCCTAGTTTTGCAAACGTTGATAATTTCACAAGTGGTTGTCATGATTGAAGCTTGGGCAACTCAAGACTGCCTGTATGACAGATCCCCTTCGGTTGAGCTTTGTTGACGACAATGTCAATATATAATGTGAGGTCCATAATATCCTTTCTTATTGTTCCTAACCAGTTTTCTTGGTATGAGATGCAAATTTTTCATGAGTTGGAGCACCCATCTAGGATTGTGATTCTAAAAAGGGTAGATTATGCTTATAATCATGTTTGTACCCTCTTCTTCTACATTATGGAGACAGCCCGACTCAGATTGTTGAAAATCAGGAAATTATTTGGAGTTAGCAAACTTGGCTTATTTTTGCATTAGTTGATGACTGGTTTGACAGCATCAATCCAACGTGCTATAGAGTCTAGACCAATTTTGTAATTTCAAAAGCAATACGTTGTCCCTTGCAAGCTGATCGGGCCTTTTCAAGCCACCCTCTTATGGTCATTTAGATTATGGATTGAGTTTTTGGCCAGTATAGCCGGTCTCATGCTGATCCATCCCATGCAATGTCGAGTCAGTGTTAGCTATTTTATACTATGTCGAGAGTATCAGGACAACTTGTGTTTATTTTAGCTAGCATGACAGCAGTACCTGTTGTATTGTGTTAGCAACACACTGAAACCACTTATGCTGCCACTGTATAAAATTTTGCTTTCTTTCATAAATCCTTCCCTTGTAGAGAATCCCTGGACTTCATTTTTTTTTGCTTTTGGTGGTGAACCTCCTTTCTTGGTATAAGTTGTGTATCTAATTGAGACTTGTTTTGCTTTATTATTTGTATGCATTGATAAAGATGTCAATATATTAGTAACTATAATGTCTTGATTGCTTCCTAAAGATATTAGATTCAGTTTCATTCTATTAGTATTTTTTAATATTCTATTTTTTGCACCTTTTTAATCTTTAAGTTGTTTTATTTTTTTAAAAATTGGTTTGTAATATCTTGTTACCCAATATAGTTTGATTCTACTGATCCTATCAGGTATTGATCTCATATCTTACACTGGGTCCCTTAACCATAGCACAACCTTGCAAACCTTGAGTTCCATTTTCATTTATTTCCAATAAATTCTTTTGGAGAAAAGTTTATATTGTATTATGAGTTTGTATTATCTGTTCCTCATTTGAATTCAATTATTTACTTTTAGTATTACTCTCTGTCTTTTCTTTTGGTTGTCCATTTCTTGTGCTAACTTTAGACAATTAATTGTGCTGGAAAGTCATTTTATCAAAGCTTTCAGTTCAAAATATGTTGTTGGTGATATAGGAAATTGGCTAAGTTGTGCTTTGCAAGAGAAACTAGAATTATTAATACATGATATGACATCAGCATAGTAGTGCCTTTTTGGCACTTAAAAAGTGCATTAGATTGAAGGTTGCATATTAAATTAAGTATAAAGCTTGTAAGAGCATGGATACAATAGTTTATCTTTTTCTTCCCAAAGGAACTATAAGTGATTCCTTTTCTCCTTTGCAGGTCCTGGGATCATCATGATGTTTTGAGAGTTCAACCAGAGTACAATGTAAGTAGTAGATGCTCGACAAGTGCTCGATTGATATCCATTTCACGCTACAGTGGACGGAAGGAGACTGCAGTTTATGCCACTGATCTACATAGTGATATCACAATTCGTTGTAAAGTCATTATTGATACGATATCAAGAATCCAAATATTCCATCATGCAGTGAAAATCGACCTAGATGAGCTTTCCACATTGCGCATCCGTGCTTTTGATAGTGAAGGTATCATATAATTCATTTCATCTTTTCTTGTTATAATGAGCAGGTGGTTCTCCTCTAATGACATGTTTGTCTCATCACATGTTAAATTTTGTAAGCAATTGTGGAAGGAAAATTTCTGACAAATTTATTTAATAAGGCTTAAATTTAAGCAATCCAAATTTGAAAGTTACAGGAAGATGCAATTAATGTTGCCTTCAATAAGTTCGTTGTCGGAAATGAAACTATTTAGCCCATCCGGCATTTTTCTTTTGTTATCACATCACTGTTTATGGCTGTTCAATGACATTTATGGATGTTAAGAGATTTTTGGTACTGTAGAATTTTCTGTTGTTGAACTCTGAAAGGAACATAATTCATGAGTTTTCTATACATCAAATTTATTGCTAACATGCAAGATGAACTTTCGCCATGGCCCTCTCTTTCCTCTCTCTGCGGTAAATCCAATAGTGCCATGGTCCTCTCTTTCCTCTCTTTGTGGGACCCACCGCTATGCGTTTGGAGTTGAAATTGGGTGTTGCCTGATTAACAAAAAACTTGGGATTTCTTAATTCATTATTGTTTTTGTTTCTTCTATCACTTTTTTGATGCCTCCTAAGTTTATTCTGGTAAATTGTTGGTGGTGCAGTTAACATTAAAAGAATGTTATTCTCCATGAATGTGGTTGATTAGAAGATGAAACAACAAAAATGCATTTATTCATAGTGGATCCATATTCCACTCAAAATTTGCAAATTTATTCTCTGCCTCTAGCTTATGATTTCTGCACATTCATCTTTATTATGCTATTTTATTTAACATTCCTATCTCTTTTTAACAGTTGAATGAGCCAAGCAACTATTGTCTTCCCAAGTTTTGGCTATTTCTGAGTGACCTCTTATTCTTGCAGAAAATGTGTTTTCGTCTTTGGTGGGCTTACAGTTCTTGTGGAAGCTTTTTCCTAAATCTTTAGAGTCAGATAGCATCAACCATCTTGTTCATATTCCTCTGAAGGAAACACCATTAAGTGACTGTGGTGATTTGGATCTGCAAATTGAGCTGGAAGATAGAGTACATATATGCTAATGTTACCTTTAGTATATTATTTCTTTTAATTAATAATTAAGGTCTTTTATTGTTTTAAATAATACTTTTTCTTCTTCAATTTGTTCCAGGGTGTTGGTTCAGACTTGTATGTGGTCAAGGGAGTTGCAATCGGCCATGAGGTTGTAAGTGCTCAGTTACTGGAGCCACAACTTGAGCATGTGATGGACCAAATCATTTTGACTGTTGCTGAAGCTATGTCACTAGATCCTCCATCGCCAGTCTTTGTCACTGTTGGTGCTCTGTTGTGCTACAGTCTGAGGGTCATTCATCTGAAGACTGCTAAAGGTTTCTACTTTATACATTAATATATGTGTGAGAACTAAATGTTAGATGTATCTTCTATTTTATCTGTGAATAATGAACTTCTACGTAATTTCATGTGCAAACCAGGCGTTGAACTTTGATCTGTGTCAGTGCACTGTATAAGCACAGTTCAAGCATTGCTGTGGCTGTGCTATTAACATTTTAGATCGTTGTTGTCTTGTGCCTATGTGTGTGTGTGCAGGAAAAAACTGTCTAAATTGAATAATTTCTTTCTTATTATGCAGCTAATTGATGGCCTTGTTAAAAAGTGTGTGTGGACCATAGAGTATACATATTAGGAACCCTACCTTCAGTTAAAAGGCATGAAGAATCCAAACTCTACATCATGTCATTCTCTTCATTTTGGTTGTCAATCACAGTGATTATTTAACTATAACTATAAATATGTTTAATACAGCTACCGGGTAGGGGATTATGTTCCAGATTGTTCATACAACAACAAAGCTGTAATGTTCCAAACTTTGAGATCAATTACTATTAGTGATGATATATCATAGTTAATTACATTCTCCAGGGGTAGGAATTTGGATATGGTTCATCTTTGGTAAGATTAATTTCAAGATCCGTGATGATTAGCACTGTGAAACTAGTGTAGGCTTAATATTTGTGATTTTTAACTCTGAGATTAAATGCCATGAGTCTAATCCTTCCACCTAATTTCTTTCCTTTTACATTTCCCATATTTTATCTGTCCCGACATAGATATGCATGCATATTTGTATTTGCAGTGGATGAAATCCTGTTTACTACTGAAGCAAGTCTTGGTCATATGGTACTGCAAATATTTCTTTAAGATAAACCATCAAGTTTCCCTTGTGATGTGCTGTTGTTATCTTGCAGTGGTTGATCTACCATCCCCACACCATAGATGGTATGTGACAAATTCTTCAGTGGCTCATGTAGACATTATGATGGGGGTTGTTCATGCCTTGAATCTTGGAATAACAGATATTATTGTTGAGGACACTAGAGTTTCCGGTCATGCACAGACATCAACCATGCATATTGTCATACCAGATAAATTGTGTCTATACATAGTACCTGTGACTAATGACTCTACTCCTCTTGAAGGCATGGCACCTATTTCTTCTTCAGATGTTTGGTATGTCTTTCCAGGCCAAGAGTACATAGTCCATATTAAAGTCTTCTCCAAAGGGCCTGATGCAAATGAAATACTTGTAACAGAGGTATGAAACTGCCTTTTATGACCAATTAGTTTCTTTTGTTATATTTGCTATATTATTTCAATCTTTATTTAGATACCTGTTTAAAATTTTTATTCATTTTTGAAGAATTTTAAAATAGAGCATGTATGTGCATCTTCTTATGCACCCATATACTGCATAGCAGTATGTGGCAACTGTACTGACTGCATACTGCTTCCATGCTTTAAAATCTTGGTCTTGCCCTTTTTATGTTTTGAGCTACAGTTTGATGTATGATAGATCCTGTGCTCAGGAAAAAGTTAATTTACCTGTCCTTTCCTTGAAGCAATAATTGACTTGTTCATTTGTGATTCTTATTCTTTCTTAAATGGCAGAACAATGGTCTTAGATTGGAAAGTAACACTTCTAAATACTGGGATTTATATTCTGTGTCAAAAGATGTTACTTCAATCTACAATCGGGAAAACTCTAGATTGCTTATTCCAATTTCTCAAGGAAAAGGTACTCTGACTGCTGCTCTAACTTACCAGAGGGAGAATTTGGAAATGGTTGAGGTAAAATTTTTTTGCTTCTGATTTGTGCCATCATGCCTTTTTCTCTATTTTGTCTCAGAAGCATTGCTGCTCCTTGTGATTATATGATTAGAGAATGATGATCTTGTTTGTTGCAAAGGTTAATAAAATCTGGCAGCTTCCTTATCTACATTACTTTTTTAGGTTCTCAGTATAGTGCAAGAAGTTAACGTCTGCAGCAAAGTGAAGCTAATTTTGGAGGAAGAGCATGATTACAATTTTGGAACCATTCACTTGCCTTGGGCTCCTGGAATTGATCAGGAATTTAAAATAAAGGCAACTGGAGGTTGATGTGACTTTTATCTAATATCTTATTTAAATTGATATACAATTTCTGCAATTTATCCTCATATTACTTTCTCTAGGATGTGGAAAATACCTCCAAGATTACAAATGGTTTTCATCTAATGAGGCTGTTGTTTCTGCATCTGGTTTTGGTTCTCTGCAAGCAAAAAGACCTGGTCACGTAATTATTAAAGTGATTTCAGTGTTTGATTCTGCAAACTTTGATGAGGTATCTACATATTGGAATTAAAAGATTCATCCCCTATGATCTGTGTAGATTTATTAATATAAAGTAAATACTTCGGTTTAAACATGACTTTTTTCTTTCTTTGTTTCATTTGGGTTTATGGTGTAATTAGACAATAAGTTTTAGTTTTTCTGAATATATGTGATAAACTGATGATTACATTGATTTCAAAGAAGTTCTTTTAAAATGTCTTGAGAATTATTTTATCCTAGCAATTTTGTTCCTTTATGGTATCTAGTTGAAAAATTAGGATAGTAATTTCACTTATTAGTTCTGTTGGACTTACTACTGACTACTTTTTTGACTCTGGTGGTTGTCACTTAACACTCATCAGAATAATCTACTGTGGATGATTTTCAGAATTTAACATTACAAGGAATTGTATCTAAGAAACTTTTGAATAAATTTTACAAAAAAAGAGTTTTTATTCTCTCCCACCAGTTGAGCTGTTGGCACTTCATGTTATGTGTAACCATTTTCAACACGTGGAATGTGGCTGTTGGACTCTGCTGAGCTCCTGGCACAATGTTAGTATCCCATTTTGCCATGTAATGGGCATCCTTCCTTGCAAAAGTCATCAGATTGCATGCTGCCTTTAGCTGCACTTAAGTACTTGATTTTCTATTCATGAGAATTTCTCAAGTCATAGTGGTTTTATCTTGTTATTTGTGATCTTGTCTCATAATATCTGTAATTTGTTGAATCCTGTTGGACTGTAAGGGATCTGCTTTTAAAAATGCAACACTTGGTCCAATATTAATGACTAATCAGGGTGAAAGGGTCAACATTCAGTTGCAGCCATACTTTCATACTTGAATCACTGAATTACCCATGTTTCTAGTGTCATGAGAAAAATGCCAAATTTGTTTTATCAGATTATTCAACTTCCATAAGTAGTTTTTTCTAGTTTTGAGTTATTTGGTTATAATCCACCACAAAGAGCTTTGTGATATGATTGTTTGGTTGCTGCTTAACAATACCATGCTCAAAACAACATGTTGCAAGCTTTCATTTAATACTTATAGAACCTTCTGGCTATTTATATTAAGGTCTGTAATTTCGTACCGTATCGGAGTTTCGACGATCGCTTGGTACGGTACGAAACTGTATACCGAGCGGTATACCGTTCGGTATACCGCACGGTATATATATATAATATAACTCGATGACGTCGCCGAAGCGACGTCGCCTCTCTCTTCTTCGAGGCGGGGCGATGTCACTTCGGCGACGTCGCCTTGTTTATATATATATATAAATTAATATATATATATATATATATATATATATATATATATATATATATATATATTAT